AGCGGGGAGCCCGATGTGGGACTCGATCCTGGGACTCCAGGATCATGACCTGAGCTGAAGGCAGTGGCTTAACCAACTGAGCCACCCAGGCGCCCCATCACAACCTTTTCTTAAGGATTTATAAATCCAATATCAATTGCACACTAAACAGTAAAAACAAATAGAAAAATTTGTTTATAATAATATACACAAAAACCGGGAAGTTTTAAAAATTATGCTATTTATGCATTCATACTACTCATATTACTTCAACCCCAATTTTGAAATACATGAAAGTTATTCTGAAGCTTTGATTTTCATAAAAAGTACACAAGGATCATGTTGACATAAAGATTCTGATATATCTGGATGGGATCTGAGATTCTGCACTTCTAATAAGCTTCAACGTGGTGCTGATGCTTCTGGTCCGTGGACCATACACTGAGAAACAAGGATTTAAGCTATCCGCAGAGAAGTACACTGGATTTTTTCAAAGTTGTTGGCTTTGCTAGGTTGGGAGGATAGTTCTAGTCTCTGATTTTCCCTCTAACTTGTACATGGAGCATAACAGGTCTTTTTGAAACTGAAATACTCAACTCCTACCCTTCCTGACCAGGAGGTTTAGAACAAGCAGGGGCAGGAGAGAGTGAGTGTGTGTGCACCTGTTTGGAGTGTGTGTGCATCTATTTTGCATCTGTTTGCAACGGTTGTACCTTCATACTTGCATTAAGGGAAGGGTGTCAGCAACTCTCCTGTGACTATCCTAATGTGAACTTGCATTCATCTAAGCACACAAAGTTTAGAGAATTGTCAGGTTCAAATATGCCCTCTCTCTGAGGTTAAGCCCCAGCTTATTTCACACATTTCAACATTTTCCATGTGGATGCTGTTAAGGTTGCCTGGAATTTGGAGATAAGCCCAGGATTAGTTCTGCTTTAAAGTCATCATGAAGCCTTGTTATAGGCCTCAAGTTAAGTTGTTAAATGTATTTCTGAGAACTTACTGGAAAAAAAAAATAATCACATTCACTAACTGGTAAGCTTCAGGTAGCAAAACCATAATGCTGTTGTTGAAAACTTACCTGCAGGCCTGTACCTTCATGTTTCTGTAGACAGAGGGCTTCTGATAGGAGGCTAAAGCAACATTCCCTTTACCAAGCTTGCTTTAGGAAGAATATCAAAACTGAGAACTGCTGGAGAGGACATGCACTGGTTTGGGTTTTGTTTTGTTTTGTTTTGTTTTTTCTTTATAGCGGGGTCAACACTATTCAAGCAGATTTTTAAAAATCATTTTGTAATACTCAAAATTATTCTATAGTTATAAAATACTTTACTATTTTTTTTTCTCTATTGCTATGAAAACAACTACTACAGAATTTGCCAATTACTAGAGGGCTTACATTTTTTGGAACTCTGAATTCCAAGTGATATTGAACTGGCGCTATTAAAATAGCTAACATGTTGGTTCTTCTTTTTTTATTTCTTTTTTTTTCTTTGCATATGTAGCTATTCTATTAACCTAGAAGACATAAAATATAAGGCAGTAATATTTGATTAAGTCTTGTCAAAATTTTATTGCAGAATAACCAGAAAAGCTCTAATGCAAAGGTATTTAGATGCATATTGACCAGACTTGAAAGTGGAATATATTTCTGAAAATAAATAAATAAATAAATAAATAAATAAATAAATAAAACATTTCAGAAATAATTTCCTAAAGGAAGCTAAAAAATACGAACAAACAAACAAAAAGAACCCTATCTTCCTATACTTTAAATTTTGACTGGCCTACTTAGTGTGATTTTTAAAGAATTGGTGAAAAAGACCCTACATGTTGCAGGCTTACAATTTCTGGGTTGTCAAAAAATGTATAAATATACTTTAAAATATAATAATTTTTCACAGCATGTGTAGAGATAATATCAGAATGAAAGGAGCAAAAAACTTCTCTGTCTTAGAATCTCTCTAAAGGAGATGTTCTAAGATATCATCCTTCTTTTATAATGGAGAAAATAAACTTGAAAGGAATTTTGATAAACATTCATGTAAGGCCCCTCATGTAATATAGGGAGGTAACATGCTCTTTTTATTCTCCTTTTGATGAACCTCTAGAATGTAATTTTTCTTCCACATCTGTAATAAGTTACTTGCTGTTTGGTAAAATTTGATTTTTTTTTAAATGTTAAAGAAGTCTTAATTTTTCTAACATGCTATGAATTACCACAATTTGTCTTCTCATGCCCTCTGACTTCTGTTGGTTCTGGAGATGATAGATAGGTAGATAGATGATAGATGATAGATAGATAGATGATAGATAGATAGATAGATGATAGATAGATAGATAGATGATAGATAGATAGATGATAGATAGATAGATAGATGATAGATAGATAGATAGATGATAGATAGATAGATAGATAGATAGATAGATAGATAGATAGATAGATATAGATAGACAGATGATAGAGATTCTTGTGGACTAGATTTGATTAAATTAAGAGGATCACCACAAAGAAGTATGGAGACTATTTATATTATAGTAGTAGGGGAATATTTGATGAGTAGAAATCAATAGTTGAGAGCAATTACTCTCCTTTGCAGTGCACCATTCGCTCAACCATCCAAGGTAGGTTTCCATCCTGACCTATCTATGAGGAGTTACTTAGATAACTAAGGACTTATCTCCATTTTGATAAAAAAAATTTGAGACACAGAATTCATTAACCTGATGTCATATAGTTAATAGTTGGTGTTAGAATTCTAACTTGTATTCATCATGTTAATGTTCTGTATTTCCCATAATTCAGGAAGCAGGACTGATGCTTGTTAAGTCCGCCTATTGCCTCATATTCTGTCACATGAGATTTTTAAAATCTCAAACAAAAATCTGGAAGAACAATCTTTCCTATTCCATGCAACTTTAGAATTATGACATATTCTAAAAGATTACAAAAGTATTGTTATCACTTATTTTTTTCAAAGTTTATTTTTACACATATCAACAGGTTAACATAATGAAAAGCAATATTCAAATTTTTTTAACCTTTTGAAAGTTTAATGTTCATAAAGTAACACTTCCAACTTGATAGTTCATAGGAAGAGAAATCTCTAAATTAAAGACTTACTAGAACTTTAAAAATCTTTGTTATCCTTAAAAATGTCCGATAGAAAAGTCAAAATCACCATTACTATCCCAAATAATCCTTTTTCTGTTGTCTTACTTCTTTTACACTAATCACATTGACAGTCTTCTGTCATTTACTTGCCAGTTAACATTATATGCAGAAAGATAGTCCATCAAAGTTGCTACTATACAAAAGATGACAGTGATGTGAAGTCAAGACAAATGTAGATGCCACTACTTTCTCCCTCTTTAAAGATGTTCAAGTGAAAAATGCATCTGAGAAATATTCAGCAAAAAATGCTCTATAAACCACAATTTTCTGCTACCAAGTGCTTCCTACTATATTATCCCCAGGTCAAAATTCTGCTGTAATGAACAGTTTACTAAGACAAAGTTAATTATGTAGAAAATGCTCCACAGGTACACTATCTTATTTCTCTTAGTACCAGTCAACCACAAAAGACCACTTTTTTGGTGATCACAGATCTTTATGCCCCCTTTTCATTCTTTTATTTAAAAGGAAACTTTAAAGTTTTAGCTTTAATGCATTAAAATGCTTATTTTTAGCCTGAGGTATAATGACTACCTTGAAATATTAGCCTCGATTAGAATAAAAAAGACATCAGTGTGTTATTTAAATAAAATTTTAAGTAATAAATTTCAGTTTTAGATACTGCCTTGCACTATTGAGTAGTATTGAGTACATATCTACCTAAGCAAGGCACGGCAAAAACTGCTTTGAAATCAACCTAAATTACCAAGTTGGTAGTTTATTACTTTAATAGAATGATGTTAGACAACCTCATTTTTGTCATATAAACTTCAAAACATGATATTAGGTAAACCATGAATAAGTATTTGAAGTATATCATTAAAGACTGGAACTCTGTTAAAGAAACCGTTAAGATTAACACACTTTTTTACAGAATCTTTGGAGACTAGGAAGAAGCTGACATTTTTGTTGCAAATGAAATTTCCAAAACTTCAACTAACCCATTTGATTTCAAGATGCATAAGGATAATATGCAATTAAATTCTTTTACTGCCGTTCTTTTTTACAGATACACAGTACAGTGAAGCAGTGCTCCTCCATGCAATGAAATATAAGGTAGAACACTGTATTCCCAAGTAGATGAACATCAGTAGAAAAGGTTTCCTCCTATCCACTCACATCTGCCAAAAAAAAGAAACTTTACCTTCCCCACAGTATTAACAATTCTCACATTCAGACCAAAGATGATGAATGAAGTCCTAATCTCAGGAAACTGTCTATAATTTTCTTCTCCTGTCTTTTATAAACCATAGCATGTTCCTCAGAATGGTAGAAATATTAAAACTTATGTCACATCATCAAATTTTCTGATACATACTGAACTTTTTGGTTATTGTTCAGATATGATAAAATAGCTAGAATTGCTAAGTAAAAATACTTGTGTTACTTACAATTTCTAGTATTTATAAAGTAACACAAGCACAGCCCAGAAAATGTATCATACTTGTAAGTAATAGAGCAGATGCCTTTCAGAAACAGGAACAGATTTTATAAATCTACTGGAATATTTCCCCATTCATATGTACTTACAATAACATATTTTGCAGTGTTTGTCCTGACGCTGAAACTGGAATTTGAGGCATTTCGCCAACACCTGTCTAATTTACAACAGAAATGTAATGCAAATTTCTTATAGTTTCCCAAACAACACCAATACCTTCTCATCCAGTTTCTTTTGCATTTGGCCAACATTTTATGAAATCACAGCCTAGTCAAAACTTCGTAATTACCTTCCAGATAAAATCAGAAAGAAACATCACAATAATCTTCTGGCTTTTTTTTTAAGCCTGAAATGATTATGTAGGTAATAACAAAACCAGATAAAATACTATTAACTGTATCTTACCTCTATCACTGAAGTCATCTACCAGAATGATTTCTGCTATCAGACTCTCTGGGGTTCGGTTAATTATACTGTGGATGGTACGCAGGAGTGAAGTCCAACCTTCATTATGAAATGGGATAATGATGCTGGTGTTTGGAAGCCTTTCAAGGTACATCTTGTGCTTACAACTAGAGATGATAGAAGAAGAAAAAAGCAATGTCAAAAACGAAACTCTGCTATTTACTCACTGTTATCAAACATCTGTGAAAACTAGACTTTGTCTAATACTTTTCCAACCAGAGCTTGTACATAATAATTACTCAGTTCATTCACGGAATTCACTAATGATCCCTTTCACATGTGCTCTTAATGAAATAATTATTTATCCTTTTTTGTATCAGGGACTCAGACACTAGGTACGAAGTGCACTGAAACATGTTCTTGTTGATGTAAACTTTTCCTAATGTTACCTAATAGCGAGAAGAACAAATTTTATGAGTCAAAATTGTTTCCACTTAGTACACCATTAAGGTTTAGATGGGTTTCCTGGGAAGTTCTGGAAATCCAACTTCTTTAATAATTATGCTTAGTTAATCAGTTTGGGTTGTGGTGTGTTTCAATGGCTGGGCAACATTTAAGCTCTACAGGGAAAAACACAGTTTTACAATGAAATAAATGAAGAGTTCATCTTAAATAAGCATATACTGATACAACCACATAATGAGATTACATTAAGATCCAAACCCAGACATTATCACATTTCTAGTGGAAATTATAACCAGAAATCCCACGTTGCTTTAGTCATTATGAAAAAAATTTGAGATGCCAAAAAGAACGTAGACTTTAACTTTTGGCATTGTTAAAAACAATTTACTATGTGTAATTGTTATTTTTGCATATTTATGATCTATTTAATTAGTTTCTAAGCCACACAGAGGCAGGAACCTGGTCTCAAATCTCATTTACTTCCTAGTTCAGCAAGTTGACCAAGCTTTATTGAGGGTGATGAATTCACTTAAGTTTGTGAAATCTTTAAGTTACTTTAAAACTAAAATAGAGTAAAATTTCAATCAGTTATCAAATTCAGTGATTTTCCTGATATGGATAACTTGAAAACAAAAAACAGAGTGGAAATCTAGAAATAGTTTCAATTTTTTTTTTTTTAAAGATTTTATTTATTTATTTGAGAGAGAGAATGAGATAGAGAGAGCATGAGAGTGGGGAGGGTCAGGGGGAGAAGCAGACTCCCTGCTGAGCAGGGAGCCCGATGCGGGACTCGATCCCAGGACTCCAGGATCATGACCTGAGCCGAAGGCAGTCGCTTAACCAACTGAGCCACCCAGGCGCCCGAAATAGTTTCAATTTAAATGCAGAAACATCTAATGCTTTAGCTTTGGCCAGGATACTGGCTACTATTTAGTCTAGACAAGGAAACAAACCATAGCATGACTTGAAGTATGCATAGATTCTACCAAGATGTATGGAAATGCACCAGAATATTCAAAACATTACTTAAAATATTTTTTCCCAATCAGTCATTTCAACACTTTATTTTACTATGATCTTAACAGGATATATTAAACATTGCTGTGGATCTCCAACAAAAGTTGCCTTACAGCTTGGGAAAACATGACAATGCAATTAAAGCCAACAAAACTAACCATCCTAGAAAATAAAATTAAATATTTTAGATAAATAATTTGAATACACAAATATAAACATTTCCTTTTTTCTTCTGTCCATTTATTTCAATTATTTAATCTCAGAATTTATTATTTGTAACAATATCTATAAAACAAGTAGATTTTAATGTTTTTAAATATGATGAAAAGAGTTGGAAAAACACCAAAGTCATACCATGAAATGGGCATTAAGTGCTAGAAAAAAATCTGAGATTCATTTTAGGATAACTCAGAATGGTTAAAAAAATATAATAGCATATGAAACAGATCTGTGAGTGATTTCCAAGGAAGTATTGTGAGATGGATGCTTTCACATATAATGCACAAGTCTGGAAAAGAGTGCTAAAGTAATTCAACACACCTGCTTATAATTATGTAGGGCCATCCATTCTTCTCAACAAAGACAAAGGCCCAGATAACTGTGCTTCACTATATCACTATTCAGGATAATTGCACCTACTTGTGCAAACCATCATACCTAACAACGCAAATGGGAATGGAATTGATATTCCCAGAAAGGCAAATTATTTTTCAAACATTAAGATGAGACATTGTACATATCACTTGCTTATTAATTAAATAAGAATTGCATTCAGAGCAATACCCTATAAGCAATCAATAGTGATGTTTAACAGCTCTCTACTAATCTATTCAGAAAATAGGCAGACAAAAAGACGCAAGACTGGTCCTATGCAAATAAGGCTTTCCTTCATAAAAATGTTTTCAATAATTTCTATCTCTGTGAGCTCAAACTTTTACCACACATAAGATGTGAAAAGATCTCTTCTATTCATTCATTCACTTAAGTTACAATGATCTACTGAGGTTTGATATAAGCCAAGATCCAAAATGGAGAAGAAACAATCAGCAAAACCTAATCCCTGACTTTAGGACATTTACAATGTAATAGCAGATACAAAATAGAGAGTTACAGTTTTAAACTTAAATTTGGAAAGTGCTGCAGAAATTCAGGTGAGAGCGAAAGGTGGCCTGTAAAGACAGGTTCAACATATATTTAGGAATACAAATGACATGACTTGGTAACTATCTAGGAGAAGTAGTTTAAGGAGGACTCCCATGTTTTGGACATAGGCGATTGATCTTATGAAATACAGACTTACATTAGAGCAGAGTGTGTGAGGAGCACATCTCAGGGGTGCAAGGCTTGAGGGTGAAGATGAGTTGAATTCTGATCACATTAAGGTTGAAATGTCAAATATCCTGTTGAACACAGCAATTATATCTATGGTATACACATCTATTTGTCTATGTGTGTATGCATTTCTGTATGTATGTGCATGTATATGTTTTTGGCTCAAGAAAACCTCCGTTTTACTGGAGGAACAGGCTTGTGAGTGATAGGATGTAGCAGATGGTACCAGTGGACCACCAAGTGTTATTTAGCATTCACCAGCCCAGTACATGCCGAGAGGATCCTTTATAAATACCTGCAGATTGCCAACCGAGTGCTTTCTCTCATCTCTGAACAAAGGCAGATTAGAAGTTCTGGGGGAAATTAATGTCCCCCTGAGCATGTATCAACCAACAAAGGAGGGAAGTTGGAGAATAAACAGTCCTATGGTGAGAAAACTCTGAGGTGTTTTCTATATTGTGGACCAGAGTTTGCCAGCAAGACTGAGCCTCAGTTGCCCACAGAGATAAGCATCTTGACAGTGTATCTTTTAAGGGCTTTTTCCCCTTCCCTGTCTTACTTCCTCATCCAGCCACCCCAGGTACTTTCTGTGATTCCTCTTCAAAATTACTACAATCAAAATTTGTCTCAAGGTCTGTTTCTCAGGGAACCTGTTCTTAGACATAGGCATATAAATTATGCTGTACTTGTCAAAAACAGTCTCTTCAATATAAAGCGATGGTCAAAATTCTTTAAGAAATATTACTTTTGCTGCATTATGAAACTTGCAATTTGTTACACCTGGAGATATTTTTAAAATAAGTTTTTTTAAAAATATTTTCATACAAGCCATTTTTGTACAATCCATATTTTCATATAAGCCATACAAGCCATTAAGTAAGAGATGTTTTCTTTCTTTCAACTTCTTAATTTCTGATGCTCTGCTCAGAGCCTTCTCCATGCCTATGAAATAGAGCTATCGGGACTTGACACAGCGTACATATAAAAATAGCCTTATCCTAATCAGCAGACTACTAGTAGTAAAGTTACCTTCTTTACATGAATGTGTGTAATTTATTTTTTTCAATTAGACCAAGATGGAAACCTCTCTAATATCTTGTGCTGATAATCATTTCTCAAATACTGAAAAATCATCCTTTACGCGTCACACTATCTAGGTTCACATGACGCCTTTGCCACTTACACCTGTGTGACAATGGGCAGGTTATTTAAGTTCCCTAAGACCAGCTCGCCCATGTGGGGCCATGCAGAGGCAAAAATAAATAAATAAATAAATTTTAAGTTGAATAATTAAATTAGAAAATAAACGACCTTCACAATGTGTTCATGAGAATTAAGTTACATAATCCATGCAAAGAACTTGGTACAGTAGCATATCTGATCATAACAAGAGTTTGATAAATACCACCTTTACTGTTATTGCTGTCATTGCCTTTTAATTGTTATTATTTTACCTGTCAAGTCCTCTATGGAAGGAGGGAGGAAATTAGGAGAGACAGGGACTGCACGAGGGAAAGTAAGAGATATTTAGGGTACGAAGATGAATCGATTCTAGTTTCTTCCCTTAAGGATTCACAGACCAGTAGGCAGATATATAAAATGATTTGACTCAAATGAGACATTTGATGCCATGCACAGCAATCAGAGCCCCACAGAAATGTGACTAACTTTGTCTGAAAGAATTAGGGAAGTCTTTATAGATGAGTCTCTCTGTTAAGAACAGATCATGGAGGGTCTTCAAAGTGATTCCAAGGAATGTGGACGTTAGCCTGAAGTCAACGTGAAATATTTCACATGTTGTTAGTGAGGAAGAAGACAGGATCATGTTTATACGTTCCTCTTGCAGCAGGACAGACAATTGGAGACAGCAGAGGTGAGACGGAAAATTGGAGATGGTAACAGTTTTGGCCAAAGATAATGAGGATGCCGATCTGATGTTTTACTCTAAGGAAAACCAGCCTCTTTGTGACAGGGCTTAATCTGATTGAATTATATTTAGTCCTTCTAGTACTTAACCGGCTCCAGAGAATTCACTCCCAGCCTCAGCCACTGGATTCTAGGAGTTGGGCTCCAGATGACTGCTTCTCAGCATTACTAGAAATACTGAAGCATATCCAGAGCTTTATTAAGAATCTGCAACCTGTGTATTTTAGGCTTAATCTCAAGTTACGTGGAGAATGGAGGTATGTTAAATATGAAGGCAATATGGTAATATGGAACTGTGTTGAAGAAATAAGTAAAATAAAGTCAAACACAATTTATATGTTTATGGTGACAGATAGGTACCAAATTTACAAACAGTAAACAGGGACCAATTAAAACATTTGTTGCATTAAGCTCATAGGAATATGAA